TATACAACACCTTTGGAGAACAAATGAGAGTTGAGCAACAAATCATTAAAGTTCCGCAAGATGCTGACAATATTCCAATAGATCAAATTATTTAAGAGATGCCAGAAAATTTTGAACAACTAGTTAAACAACAATAAAATTTTCAAGAATCTATCATTACAAAATTAAGGAGATCTACTAAAGAGAGAAAGTCAACAATTTCTAATGATTATGTCTTGTATCTACAAGATTCTGATTATATTATTGGAGCATAAAATGATCTTAAGTCCTTTTCATAGGCCATCAGTTATAGAGAGTCAAAATTATGGTTCAATGCTATGAATGATGAAATGGATTCCATGAAGAGTAATGAGGTATGGGATCTTATTGAGTTACATGATGGAGTAAAAGCCATTGGCTACAAATAGGCCTTCAAAACAAACAAAGACTCATTAGGCAACATTAAGAGATATAAGTCATCTCTCGTTGCAAGAGGTGAAACAATTTCTCTACAAAAATTTTGATATGAAAAATGTGGTGATGCATTCTATATTATAGGCAATAAGATTTATAGATACAAAAATTAATATATTTTAGATATGTCCCAAGAAATCTATATTAACAAAATTTTAGAGAGGTTTCGAATGAAAGATAGTTCATCAAGTATAGCTCTCATTGTGAAATGTGACAAGTTCAATTTGAACCAATGATCGAAGAACGATTTAGAGAGAGAACAAATGAAGAACATTTCATATGCTTATGTTGTTGAAAACCTAGTGTATGCTCAAATTTATACAAGACATGACTTTGTATTTGTTGTCAGAATGTTAGGAATATATCAGAGTAATCCAGGTATTGACCACTAGAGAACTATAAAAAAAGTTCTGAGATATCTTCAAGGAACAAAGGAGTACATACTTATATATAGATGAAATAATAACTTTGAGGTGATTGATTACTTTGATTCAGACTTTGCTGGCTATGTTGATTCATGAAAATCAACATCAGGATATATCCTAGAGGAGTGCTAAGCAGACCTTAACTGCTACTTCTACTATGAAAGCTGAGTTCATTTTGTGTTTTGAGGCTACCTCACACGGAGTATGGTTAAAGAGTTTCATTTATGGGCTTAGAATCATTGATTCAATTTTTAGGCTATTAAGGATATATTGTGACAATTCAGTTGCTGTCTTTATGCCTAAAAATAATAAAAGTAGTAGTTGAAGTAAACACATTGACATTAAGTACTTAGCCATAGGAGAACGTGTAAAAGATAAGAAAGTGATCATAGAACACGTTAGAAATGAATTGGTGATGGCTGATCATTTGACTAAAGGCATGCCACCATTGAAATTTAAGGATCAAGTGATTAAGATGGGACTTGGTTCCATTGCTTAAATTTCGTTATAAGAAGGAATGTATTAAAGCTCTATTTGTTTTTTATGTTTCTCATTTTGGTATTCTTGTGTACACATTTATTTGTTTATTTTGATAAATATTGTTAAAGTTTAGATCATGAGATTTATTCATTTAAGAAATAATAAGCAAAATTAAAGAAGTAAAATGCATAGTGAACATAGAAGATAATACTCAATTTTTAGAGGACTTATCGTCATGAATCATGTATTTTCTTTCTTTTCTTAAGAGAAATGATTTGTAAAAATTAAGTATGATTGATGAGATATATAGACCAAGGGAGAGAATATAAATTATTATTTTTTTAATGGTCTGTATAATAACTCAAATTCATAAATCTTTCATAAAGTATTTTTGTTACAGTTTCTAATGAGAAATACATTCAGAATTAAGATTTTTCGTTACACTTTCAATGAAAAAAAACTTATAGAATTAAGTATTTCCGTTACGGTTCCAATAAAGAAAATGTTATAAAATTGAATTACCCATTAATTGTGCATAGCATTTTTGATAGAAAAACTTCTATAAATAGAAACACCTTTGTTGGGTCTCTAATCCAGTACATTGCTCCATTGTGTGAGGCTTTTGAGTTCTTGAAAGAATTCAACACAGAAAAGAAAAGCAAGCTAACTGTTCAAACTAAGCAATGGTGTGAGGTATTTATCGATCTTTTATTTCTACTGATTTTTTTAGTTATTTCGTCATTTAAATATATTAAATG